TTAGGGCACGAGTAAAATGTGATTTTTAGCTTGTATATATCAGTTTGTGGTGCATCGAAAACTGTATTTTTTACACAAAGAGTACAAACTAGAGCACATTTCACGGAATCTAGATGACTATGTTGAATTTGGCACCATAAAGGTAAGAAAAAATCATAGTTAAGGGGGGTTGATGTAATTATCCAAACAAGAGGGGGGTTTTTGTAATTTAACCATACCTCAGGGGGGTGTTTGTAATTTACCCTAATTAATATCAAAGTCGTCGCTCGGATTTTTGGGGGCATGGGAAAAACTATCCTGGATGTAAACACGGGGCGCCGTCTTCAACCGAGTACTTAGGCATATGTTTCGGAGCAAGGAGGTGAAGAAGGGCTTGATCACGATAGTCTCCTTGAAGTTTTAAGAGTGAAATAGGGTATTTTCGAAAAAAAAAAATCTTCAGGGCTAAAAGCGTCTTTTGCGTGCTCAAGGATATTATTGCCTTTTCTGTCGAGGGTTAGAATAGTAATATCACTATTTTGAATTTTTGTGATGAAAATCTCACAAGAAATAGATGAAAGGTTCCCTTTTTTTTTTTCCTTTTTCTTATTTTGTGCAAAGATTAAAGGGTCATTTTGATATGGAACATATAATTTGACGGTGAACTTTATCAGTTTTAAAATATCAGGGTGGAAACCACCAATCAGTTATACTTGTGGGGTGCAAAATGAAATTAACCCAAAATTTGTTCCCCAATCCGCTAATCAAATCTCAAATCAACATACTTCATGGAGTGGATCTCTCAATTAAATATATACCGAGGGGTTATTTGAGACGAAATAGATAATACAAGGGTTAAAATAAAAATTATACATTTGACATAATTGACGTCAGCATCTCCAGAAACTTCGTTGCACTCTTTATATAGTCTCGCTTATTCTGTTTCCACATTCCAGAGACATCCACGAACAGACGCCCAGAGAGAGAGAGAGAGAGAGAGAGAGAGAGAGTTAGAGAGAGAAGATACGAAGAACGGTCGAAACGCAGACGGCTGTTAAGGTGATTTTCGCTATCAGATTAAATTGAATCATTTTACCTTTTTTTTTTCTTTGAATTAATAAATTTCAAAAGGGACATTTGAATTTGTGGCCTGCTGTGTAGCGATATAGTCGGAATTCAACCGGATCCCGATCCGTTGATCCATTTGTGTTTTTTTTAGTGGATTTCTCGGATGATGTAAAATGATTGGATTAATTCTTTGTTTCGGAAATGAAGATATGTGATTGGTTCATCGCTTTCTTATACATTTCTGAAGTCTAATTTTCTTCGATCAGGACGAACTGCAGGAAATTCTCTTTTGTTTTAAAGTATGAAAACTGCCAACATACAGTTATGGTCTCTTCTGAAATTGTTAGCAATTGCAAGACTTTGTATATCTTTTTTTTTTTTTTTTTTTTTAACAATTTGCATTTACGGCCACCCGAATTACGAAAAAAACCTCTCTTGGATAATTACAACCATTCATCAACTATACTTTGTCTTACGAAAAAACTTTTCCTTTAGTAGGTAAATCTGGCACCGTGTAAGACAATATATGGTTGATTGGTGATTGTTATTATCAAAAAAATGAGGGGTTTGTTTTTCGTAATTTGAGCTTACTTCACGGGTGGCCGTATTTTGCGCCGTATTTTGCCCTTCTTTTTGTAGAGGTATTTTGATATGTGGTTCTTCAGTCATGCAGTATTTGTGAGTTGCTTATTCACTCCTCATTTGTTCTGATGTAATTGATTGCTTTTTTTTCTTTGAATGTTTGTGCAGATGTCGTACTCCAGAAGATCGAGGTGCGAACCAACTGCCTAACTAACGCAGTTGTTATAATTAAAGTATTTGTTAAATGTAGTTTCTATTTATGTGTTTGAACACATTTTTATAGGTACTATGATTCGCCTTCGCCTTACGGGCGCCACAGCAGGTCGGTATCCAGATCTCCGTCAAGGAGCAGATCAAGGTAACTTTCTAGAGCTTGGTTACCTCAGTTTTTTTATTTTGCCTCCTATTTTTGAAATTTCATATTTTGCATGGGATTATCTGATTTATCTTTATTGTTGAATAAATTATGCAGAAGCTGTGACTCGAGTGACGCCGAAAATCCCGGAAATAATTTGTACGTGACAGGACTTCCATCCCGGGTCACGAAGAGGGACATTGAGAAGCATTTTTCAACCGAAGGAAAGGTAATGTGTCTTACATATTAGCTCTGCGGTTTATTCGTGTATCCATTCTTGATTTTGTTACTATGAACTAAATTTTCTTGAAGTTTGGATAGTGCTCTGCCACTGTGATAAAATAATCTGTGTCGCGTTTTGATTGTAAATGTACGACTATTTTTTGTTTAGGTTGAGAATGTTCATCTGGTTATTGATCCAAGGACGAGGGAATCTCGCGGGTTTGGTTTTGTGACTATGTCGACTTTGGAAGAGGCTGATCGCTGTATCAAGTACTTGGATCGAACTGTCTTTGAAGGCAGGGTTATTACTGTCGAGAAGGTAAACTGTCTCTTTTGAGGCCATTGATGCATGCATTTTGTGGTCGTTCAATATTTAATTGTATCGTTTTTTATATATTAAGTTCGGTTCAAAAGTTTATGCTATCTATCTTCTTGCCTGAAGTTTCTTTGGCAACAGGGTAGCTGTGTGTAGCAGCTCTTCATCAAACTAATCAAATCAAATTCAAATCAAATACATGAAGCAAATAGCAGACTGTTATTACTGAGGGTTGTGTGCCCTGAATTTCTTCTTTTTCTCTTGTGTTTTGTGGTATTCAGTTTTTGTAGCGTTATCTTTCGACCCTGTTGTTTGAATAATGCCATTAATTACGAGTCTTGGAGGAAGTAACTCTGATGGGTTATCAAATACTCCGTTTTGCAGGCTAAACGAGGGAGGGGGCGAACACCTACTCCAGGAAGGTATCTTGGGCTGAAAACAGTTCGTGGTGAGATATGCATGCTCATAGTTAGTCATTTGTTGTTCTATCGTAACTGTTTATACTTGTAAAACAACTTTATGAAAAATTGTTGTCTTGCCTATTTAGGGGGTGGTCGTCGTTCTCCGAGCTACTCACCTTATTCAAGAAGTCGCTCTCCGAGCAGAGGCAGGAGCAGGAGTCGGAGCAGATCATACTCTCCTTACTATGGAGGTAGACGAAGATCATACTCACCGGCCTATTCAAGGCGTTGTCGTAGGTCGTCACATTCTCCAGATGAAAGATGTTATTCAAGGCGTCGCTCTCCATCGTATGATAGCAGGTCTCCTTTGAGGAGGAGGCGTGAGCGCTCGCACGACTACTCACCCAATGACCGTTACTACAGAAGAAGCTATAACAGGGATTACTCCCCCGATACAAGATATAGGTCTTTACGGGATTACTCTCCTGATGACCGTTACTATGGTAGAGGCAGAAGCCGATATAATGCTGACCGAAGTATTTCACCTAGGCATAGGGGGCGTCGTACAAGCTATTCGCCTGGTGGGAGTTACTACTCACGAAGCATGTCACCGAGGAGTTGCTACTCAGAAAGTGTGTCTCCATCTCCGAGGGGAAGATCAAGATCAAGGTCAAGGAGGAACAAGTATGATGGGAAGCGGAGCGTATCCCGTTGTCGTTCGAAGCGGTCTTATGAATCACGTGACAGCCGCTCTTCAAGAAGACACACTAGGAGTCCAAGTGCTACTTCTTCATCGTCTACTCGTGCGGTTACTCCTACCAAACCCTCCCCATAGGTTTCATTTCCATGTTTGTCGTAGTTATACTTGGATAATCAGTTCTGTGATTAGGTACGTGAACAAACGTTTAGCTCTACAATGAGATCTAACGATGGGCGTTGTTGTTAAGGTTCATAGTTTCGTTGCAGCTCAAGTTTGTTGAACAGTGAATGTACTATTCATGTATTGTTATGGCTGCTCCCTTATTCGTGACCTGCTTTATTTTTTACTGTTGTTTTTGCTTAATTGGATTTTTTTTTAAAAAAATTTATATATGCTATTGTGAACATTTTTTTTTTCTTTTTCAAAAATGCAAGAAGATTGTCCATTGGATGATGTCAGGCTGGCGTAACAGTAACTGAAAATGGAGAACCTGTGTAATTGAACAACAATGTGGTAAACACGACAATATGAAACAATGTGGTAAACACGACAATATGACATTTCTAATATATAAAAAAGACAACGTGACATTTCATTGTCATGCGAAAAAAAAGGAACACTTATTGGAGATTTTCGTTTTGAAGTAGTGAAAAAGCAAGAAATGAACATATTATTACATATCGTGGACGGAATATTCCCTTGTCCGAGACAAGGCGGCAAATACAACACAGGAAAGCATCTTACCCTGATTCTTTATTATGTATTATTGAAATAACTTTCTAAGCTGATGGCACCGCACACTCGTTTATCTTCCAGATCTCTTTTGCATACTGCCCAATTGTTCGATCACTGCTAAATTTTCCACTTCCGGCAGTGCTGAGTATCGACATCTTTGTCCATCTCTTTCTGTCCCTGCATCAATATATAAAAACAATCATAGCGTCAATATCAGTTCTGTTCCAATCTCTATTACTTATTATACAAAAATTGCCAAATCGATTAAACAAGAGACGATGAAATTTAAGCCCACATTATAGAAATATGACGGAGTGGGAAGATTGTGGTTTCTCTAGGCTACTTACTTGTATGCTTCATCGACTCTTTCTTGGGCATCCATGTAGCTTGGGAAGTCGTAACCAACGAGAAAGTAGTCACCACGTCCATAACCAGAATCTCCCTCAAGTGAATCGAGCAGTGGGTTATAGTCATAGCTTCCAAATGCTCCAGATCTTATAAACTGTTTCGCCTCTTCAAACCGAGGGTCTGGTTTGAACTACACAATCAGAACAGACGAGACGTTAAATTTAAAAGTCGATTTTTCCTTTTTAAAATAAAATCTAGCCAGAAAGGCAAAATGGATGTGGAGAATCACTCTTGGAATGAACGTATGAAAAGTTTACCATTCCGTTTTCTCTCTCTTTACGCAAGCGAGGAACTTGATCAGCTGTGGCACCAAAAAGAAAGAAATTTGACTCCCCAATTTCTTCTCTGATTTCAACGTTAGCACCATCTAATGTTCCGATAATGAGGCATCCATTCAGAGCAAATTTCATGTTACTTGTGCCACTTGCCTCCATCCCAGCTGTGCTGATATGCTGTGATAGTTCACTCCCTGGAATAAGCATCTCTGCCACCGACACATTGTAATTCGGGACGAAAACGATCTGCAAACATTCAAAATCATTAGGAAATTAAATAATAGACAAAAAAAGTTATTTATTAAGAAAGGCATGTTAATGAATAGAAATACCAAGACATATACCTTTAAAAAGTTATTGACTTCCGGGTCACTGTTAACAACATCACCAACATCATTTACGAGCTTAACTATTCTTATAGCATTTGTATATGTTGCAAATGCTTTTCCTCCAATCATGATGGTACGAGGTGTTGTCTTTTTACGATCTTCAGGGTTCATTTCCTGCATTGATACACATAATCCACTAAGTTACAACGCAATGACTATGTTTAAGATAGTACACTGTAGATTACGACTTGGAAGAAAAATGATAAAACTTAATTAAAGCACATGCTAACAAGAATGATAAATAGCACCCAACATCAACTGAATAGATATAGCACAGGGCTCAAGAACTTATTTATGACTCACCTTCAATTTCTTGTACCTATAGACAGCACCCAAAATGTTTAACAGCTGCCTCTTATATTCATGGATGCGCTTCACTTGAATATCAAAGAGAGAATTTGGGTCAATGCTCACACCAGTAACCTGCAGTACGTAATTTGCCAATCGCTTTTTGCTTGCCAGCTTAGCTGATTCCCACTCGCTTTGGAGTTCTGAATTGTCAGCAAACTTTTTGGAAAATAGAGTCAATATAAAACCAATCCAATAACAAAGATGATAACAACGAAAAAGTGGACAAAATTATTTTTGGAATGTTGTTCGTGCTACTTACTTGACGCAGATTTGTTAGTAGGTCAAGATTAGTCACCCATTTATCCGTTTTTAACCATTTGGTGATAATTTGACTAAGCTCGGGATTGCAGAATTTGAGCCATCGGCGAGGAGTTATACCATTGGTTTTGTTTTGGAATTTGGTAGGCCAAATAGAGACATAATCAGCAAATAACTCGTCCTTTAATATGTCACTGTGCAGCTGTGCAACACCGTTCACCTGCAAGAAGAGGATGAACAAAGATTCACATGCTAAACTTCATGACAAATGCTGCAACATAAATATCTTATTCAACACATGACTAAGCTCTTACCGTGTGTGCTGACACCACACACAAGTTGGCCATACGCACAACTGCTTTTTGTGGGTTGTTATCCAAAATACATAGACTGGAAAGTTTGCTCTCGAGGTCAGGTCTAGTTGACTTTATCAGCGCAATAAACTGTAAAGCAACAAGCTAATCAGTACACTAAAGTCGATTTGGTGAATAGGTAGAACAAAATTAGAGAATACGATAAATACCCTCTTGTCTATTTCTGTAATGATTTCCATATGACGTGGAAGGAGTTTCCACATGACAGCTTGTGACCATTTCTCCAGGGCTTCCGGAAGGACTGTATGATTTGTATAGGCTACTGTCCTGTTAGAATACACACATCGTCAGATCCAAAAACAGAGCTATACTAAAAGATGAATTTATAATAAAATAGTTATAAAACAATCACTTAGAGGTGATGTCCCAGGCTTCGTCCCATCCGAGGCCTTCATCATCCATTAGCACACGCATCAGCTCTGGAATTGCAAGAGTAGGATGTGTGTCATTTAGTTGCACTGCAACCTTAGAGGGAAATTCAGACCACTGGATTTCCTTTTCACCATTCCTCTCCTTAAATCGAGCAATTATATCCTGGAAACATTGTTACTTGTGTTAGAGAACAGCAGATTGAGTAAACTTTGGCTGACTGACCTATCATCATTACTGGAAGTAATAAATATTCAGTGTATTGCATTTAGTACCCCAAGTTTTATACTGAATTGATAAAAAACTCCTCATGTTGTAAATACTAGTAAAAAAACCCTATAATTCATTTTTTTAGCACGCAGCCCCCTAAATGGTCCTATTTTAGGTGTAGCTTGCTAATAAAATTGAATCATAGGAGGGGTTTTGCTAATAGTTATAACACGGTGAGTTTTTTGCTAAGTAGAGTGAACACAGAGGTGCTAAATGCAATAAACCCAATAAATATCTTAGAAAACACATTTGGAACACTATTTTCAAGGGAGTGGCTCTCCTTAAATTCTAAGGTGTGATATTCACTACCAATAAGATGAAATATACTTAAACAATTTATCCGTGTTGTTTATTTTTAGAATTAGGATTTTGCAAAAAGAGCTCCAATGTTTCACACACTAACCAAGTTGGGCCTTTTATTCATAGATATTGTTGTGAATCTGTGGCGAAAGTGAATCTTTTAGCACTTCCAACACTCTTTATATGCGTAGTGCAAAAGGAATCTAGCCATTAATATCAATCAATTTTGTTTCATGTGATCACAGCTAAAAACTGGATTCTTCCCTAATGTGAATGACTTGGTTGTCAAACCTTTTCAAATGTAATTTCCAACAAAAACTTAATACAACGAAAACAATATGATGAACAGAAATGCATAAAACAAACACCAAAAAGGGAATAAGATAGTAGCAGACCCGAAGTGATGCACTGCACAAGAAATACTGCTGCTTCAATCGTAAAAGTTTCCCATTTTCGGTGGCATCTCCAGGGTATAGAACAGCACAAATCTGCATACATATACACATGCCACATAATTTTCCAAAGAGAGTTAGAAAATATAATTTTATTAGCATAAAATTTCACATGCTCGAATATATTGCGACTGGAAACATAAACAACTCTTCACCTGCTGCGCGCTTGAATGAAGTAGAGCAGCAGATTCATATTCTCCTTCGTTAAACTGAAATAAGTTGAAGTCATTAGAACTAGCTTTGGCCTCCCATAGTCGAAGACTGTTGGTGTTCTTTGTTTTGTATCCCGGAATTGGTACATCATATGCAAGAGCTTGTATGACCTCTCCACCCACCCATTTTCGACTAAAGACATTTTAGAAAAAAAAAAAAAAAAGAAATGCATGAATAAATATTCCTGAAGAAACGGGTCAGTGTTAATTATATCCGTACACTAAGAAACTAACAATTTAAGAAATCAAGAGAATTTTTCTGTTGCACTTACGAGCCATTGGGATTGACCTCAACTTGACCGAAAAATCTTATAGGGAAGACAACATCGTGTCTGACGACTTCCCAGGGGCTGAACTTCTGCATTAGTTTACCAGGAAGCGAAGGCTTACAGTTTTTTCCAGAAATTAGGGAGCGAATTTAACTATGTTTTAAGTGACAGCTAACCTCCAACCAATCTTCTGCAATTTCCTCTTGGCCTGCTTTGGTGATTCGCTGCTTGAATAGACCATATCTGTACCTCAAACCATACCCCCACGCAGGTAAGTTCAATGTAGCCATTGAGTCAAGAAAACAAGAGGCAAGCCTCCCAAGACCACCATTTCCTAGTGCAGCATCTTTCTCCTACAATATTCAATTAAAACACCCTCACATGTCACAATCTATTGGGACGTAAATAGGAAAGAGAAAATTGTATTAAATGCTCACAACAGTAGCATTTAATATAATTTAACTTAAACAAATCTTCCCGGATGAAGTCGTCAAATTGAGTAACAAATGAAACGAAGGCAAACAGAGAGGACTATATTTAAGTACAAGTTAGTGTGGCGTGTAATATTACTGATGAATAACGTAAATACTGGCAGAACCAATTTTTAACATGTAAAGGAGTATATGAGATTACCTGCTCTACTATGTTCTCGAGGTCATGACCCAGTTGCTTTAAAGCATCAGCATATGCAACTTGAAGATCTAGGTTTCCAACTGCGTTGGTCAGAGCTCGGCCTTGGAGATATTCCATAGACAAATAGTATGTTTGCTTAGGATTAACTTGGTGATAGTGACTATACGTCTCATTCCATTGCTGCATAATAATCAGAGTAATTCTTAGAACATAATAATCTAGTTTAATTAATCAACCGAAAAATTGCTACACGAGAAACATCAGTTTTGAAACTGATACGGCTCTCAAAAACTAATAAACAGAGTTCTTACTGCTTCAAACAGATAACCAAAATGACAATTAGTCTAATCGCTCTAGCCAATTCTTAGGAAAAAAATATAAAAACCATTGCAACAATCAAAGCAATACCATACAAAGAAGTGATAGCTTATCACTCGACCAAGTAATTATTACATATTCTTATGAAACCAAAATTGAACAATCCCACTTTATTTCGCAATTTTTTTCATCAAGAAAATTACACATAAATCAGTTCAACAAACAACAATACAAATCTCTTTGTCCTCAAGTCAACAAAACACGAAATGACTACACAAAATACCTTGATCAGCTGATCATGAACGCTTTCTGCAGTAGCATAGTATGCTTGCTCTGGCTCGAACTTGAAGGGAGAAAAATGAGGGCTATACTGAGCATGGTAATTGATATTGGAAGCAATCTCGGTCGCCGCTTTAGCCAGTGGATGCGCAATCGGTGGAATTTTCTCCAAAATTTTAGCCTTAGCAGTTGCAGCACCGTTGGTCTTCACAGTAGCTTCTGCCATCGCTACGAATTTCTACGGGCGTCTTAAAATACACCACCTGCAAACGAGATGCAGAAAAAAATGATAAAATCAAAAATTAATAAATTTGACAGCAACTAGAATATTTCATCCATTAGAAGAAGATTCAGCAGAATCTCGAATCAAACTGTGTAAATCGTAAACAATGGTAAGAATATTCGGCTACAAAAAAACACATGCAACAACATGATGAAACTACAGTAGAAAACACACACAAAAAAAAAAAAAAACAAAAAATACGAAATTAAAGCAGAGAAACAATGAATTACCAGATTTACGGCCGATGTATGAACGAAAATGAGAGAATCTAAGAAATGCAGGGACAATTACTGCGAAACCAAAAGTAATTGCGCCATTTTAAGGAGCGGAATGGAGAGGAATATACCAGTGGGGAGATATTAGTCGAAGAAGAAATGGACAAAATCAGAAAAAGCGAAAAAGGTAATTTCTACGGCTGTTTTTCGATTGGTGGTAACGAGTGATTCAGAGAAGATGATCAGATGATGATGGTGATGGTGAATGAAAATAAATATCAGAGTGGAGAGTGTGTGTGGGGAAGGTGAAGAAGACGACGCTAATTTTTATGATATTTATGTGGAAGCACCCAATATTGAGTGATCTTTACATTTATGTCCCTATTCTATTTGTTTAATTAAATAAATAATCTTATTTAAAGTCCATATATCAACTTGGTCCAATTCTAATAATAGTCACTTTCCAGTTTTGCAATACCACCCATGTTTCTAATAAATATAACAAGTATTAAAAATTTCAATAAATGTTTTTTTAATTTTTGAAAGGGTAAATTACAACCACACCCCTGAGGTATTGGCAAATTACAAAAAGATCCCTTCTGTTTGGGTAATTACAACCACCCCTCAACTATAAATCTTCTTACACGTCTACTATTCGGTTTTAAATTTAGTGGAATCTTCTAGATTATATTGAATATTCTCAATTTTGGACCCGTATTATCCCATTCGAGCTCCGAATTTTGAAGCTAGATGATCATCATGAGATGTGTTTTTTGGCATGTATATATCAGATTGTGGTGCATCAGAAATTGTATTTTTGCACAAAATGAGAACAAATTAGAGAACATTCCACGGAATCTAGATGATTATGTTGAATTTGAATCCATGAGAGTGGAGATGTAAGAAAATTCATAATTGAGGGGATAGATATAGTTATCCAAACATGAGGGATTTTTTTGTAATTTGATCATATCTCAGGGGTGCTTGTAATTTACCTTTTTAGAATAAATAACATTGCAAAGAGTAAAATAACTTTGTCCATTTAATAATGTGAGAGAGAAAATTAACTATTAGAGTTGAATATACATGGAAAAACCATAGGAGAAAAAATGCATTTAATGCGGTATTGCATTCTAAATTGACAGATAATATGTAACAAAAATATTATTCTAAAGTGACAGTTATTGTGGAACAAATGAAATATTATGTGAACCAATTGTTTTAAGTGATTAAAAATAAAATATTTAGTTCTTATTCATATAAAGAATATCGACTTTCTCCGGTCCTTAAGCGAGATTGCCTAATTGATGGAACAAGAGAGTGTAATTTGAATTTCATTGTCAATAATTTCTAGATCGAAATTATTACACATAGTTTATACTTACTATAGTATTTTATATTTACATACTCGTGTAGTTTACAAACTATTATTATACACTATGGAGGTTTACCTAGTAATATATATAAACTATTGCAGGTTCCTTCTTTATAATAACTAAAAAAAAAAGAATATTTTGTATCATTATACTGGATAATCATTTAATAGACCTTTTAGTTCAACTTTGTTTTAGGAGATGTGGCCTTTATTCGAATATTCTACAATCAAAATTAAACCTTACTTGAACATATTTATTTTAATTAAATTTGGATTAAATAAGATATGATCAATTATTTATTAATTAACCAACTACTATTTAGATAGTAAGATTGTTCGTTTTTCTAGATTAGATTTTTTTATTAAATTTGTTCAATTATGCTATTATATGTAATTTGTGTATAAAAATATAGAAGACAATAGTGACAAGTGACAACAAACTTTTTTTTTTTTTTTGAGATCGACAACAAACTTAATAGTTGTAATTTTATAGGTAATTCACACCCACATCCCTAACTTATGCTCATTTGACAACCACACCTCAAATATTTAAGACTTTAGCATCCACACCCTCTCCATCTATTTTTTTTTTCATTTTTTTTTAATGTAGAAAATAAATATATGACCTTATTCTCAATATCAAAAGTAGAACAAATAGTTTTTTTTTACTATGTTCACGGGTCAAAATTGAAATGTCAAATCAAAATTAGCATTTTCATATAAAAAATAATTATTTTAAAAGTAAATCTGAATGAGAAAAAAATTTAAATAAATAATATGTTAAATTAGAATGGAAAATAAATTTATATATATTAAAAATTGAGTGCTGCTATTTCTGCCTCGAAAGTATCTCAATTCACCATCAAAGATTATAAAATGTCAAAAATACACCTAAATTTTATAATCCACCACCCTTCTTATATTCACTTAATCCTCATGTGTTCTAAGTTATATTTATTTTATTTTAATTTTTAAAAAATATAATTTTTTTTAATTTTTTTTAATTTTTTTATTTTTTTGCAATGAAATATTTGTTAAAAGATATTTAAACTTCCATATCAGATGACCTACAAATTATGTAAATTTGTTTTTAGGACACGAAATTATATTAAGCCAAACTGGCCAATTTTGGAGAAAGTTCAGGACCTTCCGTACAAGCAATCTTAATTTATTTCTCAAAAAACGTGAATTCCTGCTCTTTTTTACCTTAAAAAATGTTTTTCTGTAACAAAGGTATTATTCACTCCAACTAGAGAGGGTGAGATTTCCAGTAAAAATGGTGGGCTTTTATTTATGGGCTTATTTTATATAGCCCCCTAGGTATCAAATAGACTAGGGATAAACCATCAAATTCCGACCACTGGAGAGAGAGTTATGACTCTGGGAAACAACTTCGCCGGTTGGAGATCTTGTGGGGCGGGATTTGAATATCAGAGTTGATAAAGGAAGAGAGAGACGACTGTGAGTGGCTAGGGTTTAAAACTAATTTTAAAAGGGCATTTTAGGTACATTAGGGTGGGCTAGGGGGTTCTGTCAAATTAATTTCAAAATGGAGGAAGTATGTATAGGACCGGCAATTGAGCCGGGCCTAACCGAAGCCCGATGGCTCGGCCCGATTATATTTGAGCCGAACCTACTTTTTAGTGAGTCGGGCCGAGTTTGAGCCATTTTACTAAACCCGATTTATTTATGAGTTGAGTTTGAGCCTACTATGGCTCAACCCGAATAAGGCCCGACCGATTAGGATAATAATTAAATATATAATATATTTATTATTTTAATACTATGACTCAATATACAAGTTATGACCGTATAAGATTATTTGATTTTGCGAAGAAAAAAGTCAAAATAAAAGGAATTAAGTAGTGACGATGCAATAAGTTAAATATGAATCAAATGCAACATATCACCGAGATTTTAGAATATAAAATGTTTCCAATAATAAGAGTTACTAATCTTTTTTTACTTCTTTCGGTTTTATTTTCAAGTTTTTCCAATAACTTTCAATGATCGTTTAGGGTTTTTTTTTTATTAGCTTCAATGGAGGTAAATCTTGTTCATCACTTATTTTTATAAAAAAAAATTTACTCATTACAATGATATAGTAATGGGGCCCGATATAAACCCAAAACGCGAAAAAATACATGAGCTGAGCTTGACTCCATTCTAATGAGGCCCGATGACATGTGAGCTTGAGCCTATAGTAATAAGGCCCGATGGTATGTGAGCTTCAGCCGACCCAAGCTCGCCTCACATGGCCCGATTGCCAGCCCTAAGTATGCACAAGGATGTAATTAACTTGGTGGTTAGTTATATATAATTTCTATAATAATTCCTTTTTTTTTTATAAATATTTAATTAGTTTAATGGTAGATGGTTTATAAATTTATAAAAAATATAGGTGAAAGAAGAAAAAAAAAAAGGTGAAATTGGAAATATATTTAATTTGGTGAATAAATATGATATTTCGAGGGTGTAAATAATGCGTCTCTTAAATTTGGATTCATAATTCATAAATCAAATAAGCCAAATTTCCATGTGAGTGTGTGAGAAATGGGAAATTAGTAACATTTTATTTTGTAATGGGAATTGTAAATGTTGAAGGCATGACACGTGTGGGTGATGATTATGACCCAAAGTTTGTCTCGTTATGCATTTTTGGTGGTGGAGTAAAAATTGGCGCTACGATCACGTGACATTTCACGTGACATTTTGTATTCACGACTCTTGTGTGTTTCTTTGCCTTTTTTTAATTTGACTTTTTATTTTTCTTTCAAAACATTGGTCGATTATAATGTAGTCCATTACAATGTAGTCGACCGAAAAAAAAAATGATATTTTCACAATGTTTGTATTGAAGTTGTATAGATGGTTGAGGTTATACGGCTCCTTCGACTCTACACCCAGTGATGAATATTGGGTGGGTTTTCTGCTGCCATGTGTCTTTTTTTTTCTTTCTAAAACCCTTAAAAGTAAATAAAAACGGAGAATATATTATATAATACAAAAAATGACACGTGGCAGCAGAAGACCCACCCGGTATTTATCACCGGGTGTAGAGTCGAATAAGTCGAGGTTATACTATATAATGATATTTTGATTTTGATAGGGATTGGAGGATTAATATAATAAGTCGACTATGATTGAATATAAATTTTTTATCAGAATTTAATAGAAAAAAAATGAAAATAATTAGTCGACAAAACATCAGATACTATATACTAAAATACTAATACAGCAGACTATATAGTATTATATGAGAGAGAGAGAGAGAGAGAGAGAGAGAGAGAGAGAGAGAGAGAGAGAGAGAGAGAGAGAGAGAGAGAGAGAGAGAGAGAGAGAGAGAGAGAGTATGAAACAAAAATTCGAAATCAACAGTAGAGGCAAAAGTTTAATTAATTTGTTGTTTAGTTTTGATCTTGATGAATCACGAAAGAAAACAATAATTGAATAGGAAAACTAAAGAAAATAGTTCACTTACATGTAGTCCAATGCAACATAAGATAGTCGACTGAATGTAATTAACTAAAAAATGATGTTTCACAATATTTTTATTGAAATTGTATAGATGGTTGAACTTGTTGTATAGAATGATGTTTTGATTTTATCAATATTGGAGAATATAATCAACAAAAGAAATTAATAATTGAATAGAAAAAAAAAATAGTTGTCTTAAATGTAGTCGGCTAAAAAAAAGATGTTTGACAATGTAGTCTATTTCAATGTAGTATATTACAAAATAGATTTCTATCATGTACAATACTAAATGAGATTTAAACTCCAATGTTGACGTGGTCTCACTTAGCTCGAATCAATGTGATAACACTTTAAGAATAGCTTGAGGCCTCATTTCAAGGGTAACTCGAGCTTAAGGGCACGAGCTTAGAGTTCGAGGTAGGAATGCAAGAGGTTCAATGCATGCGAGATGGAGGGTTGAACAATCAAGGAGAACACTCTAGATGCGAGCTGCAAGCTCCTTTGATGTGAGAACTGTCGATACGAGCACGGTTGATGTGAGCTCCTTTGATATGAACTATAGGGGTGCGAGTACTTCAGGTAGTGCGAGCATCGTTGATGGGATCTCTCTGACATGGTGATGCGAGAACCAACACTTGCAAAGAGTAGGCCGGCGAGACGCTCAAGTTAGAAATCGTGGAGAAGAAGAGAAACCAAAAACTCGAGAAAACTTGGAGAATAAATTAGTACGTGCATTGACTAATGAATTTTGGGGTATTTATAGGGTACGATTAAAGAGTTATATTAACTAACGAAGACGAAGACCTGACGAATCTTCATTATAATTCTTCTTTCATCTATCTTTTCTAAATCTATGACTTTTATTACTTTTATTATGTTTTTCGTAGAGAACATGAGTAGCTAAGTTTTTAATCTAGGATTTTGTTGGAACCCTATGTGGGAATGGTGAACCCGTTTTCTTGAGATTATGCAATTATTATTTTATGATTATTTCTTCTACTTGTTATGATTGTTAGTGCATGAACTTGATCAATTTATGTGCTTTATCTGTGATTATTGGGATTGACTCGACATAGCTATTTTGATAATTAGACGTTAAGTAAAAGAACATTCGAGTAGTTTTCACCGTATTACTGTGTTAATTGCATGTGGTATCGTAGACATACAGATATTCACCTTAGGTAATCATTGTTGAGACTTATGCTTTAATGCTTTATTCATGATCGGATTGCATAGACATATAGTAATTTGGTTTTGGATAATAGAATTATAAACACGCGACAACGGGTTATAATTAATATAGTGTCTCAGATTAATAATCATGAATCATATATTTCATAATTGAGGGGTTTTGGGTGAGCAATTCTTGCACAGGAGGAAGATAAAATCCTAGGTCTGTTTTTATTGATACTTTCTCGTGTTTATTTGCTTTCAAAATTAGTTTAATTATTTAGTTGATTATATTTGACAACTTTGCGTAGGCTGGATAAAAATCATAGTTGTTAGAATTCGATCCTTAGGATTAGATAATTTGAGTATTCCCTGTGGGATCGACATCCGATTCCCACGAGTCCACTTTTACTACTTGTTTGCGATACGTGCACTTGCGTGTTAGGTATTTAGCCCAACAGTACTATATCAACACATCTAATATGATAGATGGTTATGGTAATGCATATATTATGTTACCTCATGGCACAATTTTGACCATTAGAGAAGCTCTATATTCTCCACGTTCCTGTGGAACACTGTTTAGTTTTAAAGATATTCGAGCCAATGGTTATCATATTGAAACCACTGATGAAAAGGGGATGAAATATATGTGCATCACCTTTATGTGTACGGCCAGAAGCCTACCTTGGAAAAATTAGAGGGACTTTCAATAGGGTTATACAGGACCAGAATTCGAGTGCCAGAAGCACACCTTGTCGATTGCTACAAGTCTAGTGACCCGAGCAAATATTTTCTATGGCATGACCGACTGGGACAATCGGGTTAAAGTGTGATGCGCCGACTTTTCAAAACATCTATTGGGCATCCACTAACAAATAAGGATCTTGTACACAATGATAAGATATGTGTACCTTATTTTATTGGAAATCTTGATCCTATGTCAGCTTATGCACATACTACTAAAGATTACTTTGGTTTCTTGGAACGAATCCAACCCATTTCAACACCACGTGAATCTTTTTAAATATTTTCTGGTGATGGTTGATGCTTCGACTAAGTGGTCACAGGTCGATTTGTTGTGTATAATAAATAATGCTTATGCTAAACTCCTCTCTCAAATAATAAGATTGAGAGTACACTATCCAGATTATCCCATAAAGTCTATTTGATTGGCATAAACAATCCAGGTTGAGAGAGAATTTTAGCATTTTTGTTATACTTTATTTCCACAATCGTTAAACCGAAGAGCAATACTAATAGAGCGATTTACAACATGTACAACTTTGTTCTTATCAAGAGTCATGAAAGATAGAAATAAACATTTGCATAACCAATAACATATCAATTCTTAAGAAACAAGAATCTTCATTATATCTATTTCCTATCAAATGTACACACAACTAATAAAATAAATCTATCAAGATAAATTATGAACATATGATTTACATATTAAAACAAACAATCACTACCAATACCCATAGCTGTCGAATTTCAGTTTTAAATACTACGCTAACACTTGCTGTAGTTGAGCTGGATTTGTTTGGATCATTTTAACTTAGTGTTGCCTACAGTACATAAAATCCTAAACTCATGAATCATGAGAATATGATCTTGCTTTCAATTGTTGTCGTTACAAATCGTAAATTCAACTCACAATCAAATCACTCACTGAGAACCAACGTAACGTTGCCATGAAACGAAAATACAACTATTTGAGTCTCACACTATCCAAGTTTCTACGTTAAGTAAATGAAACAAATGTGATAAGATCAAAAAATGCAGCACGAACCAATTACATAGGTTTATATACATATATACAAGTCATTTTCTCACGCAGAAACAAACATCAAGCTATCACCGTCGTCAATCCCAAAAGCATTACGTCGGCTACTTCTTGCGTACCTTTCAACAACAGTGGCAGAGTGTAAGGAATTATTAATAGTCTTGTCTTTGTATTCCTTCCGTATTTGCCACAAAACCTCCGCACATTTCCTCATAGAGGGCCTTGAGATTCTCGATGAAGCAAGGCATTGGCGTGCGAGTTTGAGGACTTCTTCAACTGCCTGGATCGAGGCCAAGCTCCTTTGCAATCTTGGATCCATTGCCACAACTACTTCTCCGTCTTTCAGTCTCCTAAGTGCCTGCATAACAAGAACGTTTCTAAGTTTGTTTTCTTTTCTTTTAGCCTCAATTGCCTTTGTGATATGCGTTTTTGGTCCTTCTTATATGATTCGTGGGAACAAAGACTTATTGTCAATTGCATATATATTATAGTGATATGCTACTTTCGTTCCAAATTATCTGTCGATTTAGAGAAATGTTTTGTTCCATATTATGTCTCACGTTAGAGTTCAAATATCGCGTTAAATTGCATGTTTTCTTGTTATATCCTCATTACTCCCTCTGTTCCTAAATAGTTATCGTTTTTCACATCTGCACAAGTCGTAAGAATCTCAATAAATGTATCTTGACTTTTGGAAAATAGACTTTATATTAGAATACCATTGTTTACTAATTAATGCAAGAGAGTGTTGGAGAATTAATAAGGGTAAAATTGAAAAATATATAATTAATTCAGTATTGGAATTCTAAAGTGACAGATTATATGAAATGATTTTTTTGTTTTTTTAAAGTGACAGATATTGTGGAACGGATGAAGTAGTTCATCTTATCACTCATTAAATGGTAAAGATTACAAGTCTTTTTTATGATGCCTTGCCTTTTATAAGTCTTTTCTAAAATTCAACCATATTCTCATATTTTTTTTCAAAACGCGTATAAAAACCGTAAAAGTCAGATATTATGGAACGGATGAAGTAATATGCATGCACCAGTAGTGTTACTCTTAAGTCTCGTATCACTCACCCATCTTGTGGTAATTCTCTCATTGAGGCTTCTCTTAGACTCGATAGGCTGCCTTCCCGTCACAATCTCGATAAGCAAAACACCAAAGGAGTAGACATCACTCTTTTCAGTAAGCTGATAAGTCCTCAAGTATTCAGGATCCAAATACCCAGCGGTTCCTTTAATTTGCGTAGAAATGTGAGTTGCCGTTGGATCTTCCGAAACCATCCGTGCAAATCCAAAATCGGCCACTTTGGCTCTGAGATTTTCCGTAATCAGTATGTTTGACGCTTTAATATCTCTATGTATAATCGGAGGATCTGTAATATGAATAAGAATGCAATTATACAGTTAAACCTCTATAAATTAATACAGTCTGGACTAGCAAAATTCTATTAGTTTAGCGAAATATTAAATTATCGAACCAATAATTTGGTAGGTTTTTACCGAGTCGGGACCAGAAGAAACTATTATTTAAGCAAGGTTATTAATTTATTGAGGTTCTACTGTAGTTTATTTTTTTTGTAGTTCTATAATCGGTGCGTATTTTCGTAATATTAATTATATACCCGAATAAGTGTGGAGATAGGTAACAGCATGAGCTACATCGATTGCAATGTCCAAACGTTCCCCGATTTCAAGCCCACTTCCGCGTGTCCCTGCATCGAATCATCTAGTCATTGAGACACGTTTTTTTTTTTGTTGGATCAGAAAACGCAACGAATTTGATAATATTCGTACGACGGAATAAATATTTGATTAACTCACCATCCAAATGTTCTCGAAGATTCCCATTGCTGACATATTCAACGACAATAAGCTGTTCGTTTCCATGCTCAATATACCCGTAAAATCTTACCAAACTCATGTGCTCGATTTTCGACAAGGCTACAATCTCGTTCTTGAACTCTACCGATAAACGCTGATCGCTTGTTTCCTGCCAATAATATATATATAGCTTGTGATTTTCTTTTTTCATATCAAATGTAACAAATTCATAAGATTACGAGGTTTTTTTGAACTTACTGTTTTTGCACGCTTCACAGCAAATACGCTGCCGTCCTTGAGTTTCCCTTTGTACACGGTTCCGAATCCGCCTTCACCGATTTGATTTGCTGCGGAGAAATTTTCTGTCGCCTTGTATATATCTTTGAACGACAAACTGCTTCTCAACAGTGCTGTATCTATCTCTATCTCTGGAGATGTACCGTAATTAGAATACCTCGATCTCGATGATTTCCTACTGTCGTCACCAGCAGAATTACCCACGAAAGCTGCATATCACAGCCAAATTTTAATTTCCAATCGAAAAAAAAAAAGAAAAAAAAAATTAGAAGTCAACTCATTAAACTTACAAGAACTGCCTCCAGGGTTATTTTGCTGGACTTGATCTCTGCTGGAACCGGAACCGGCTTTCTTGAGTTTTGAGAAAACCACCGAAAAAATACCACCGATTCGTTTTGCGGCGGTTTTGATGTAAATCGAGACGGGATTGAGGGACACGCGATGGCTTTTCCGGTGATTGCTACTGGAAATGGTACTGTTGAGTTTTCTGATATTGCCTGAGCGGACGACTAACGGACTTTGTGTCTTCTTCATCGGGTGGTGGTGTGGTGGCCTCGGTGGCCAGATTCGATTCTGATTACATCATCTGCTAAACCATTCGAAATAGCAGTGGTTGCCATAGACAACTATGTTATTTTTTTAATGTTGTAATTTGGTTGATTAGACTGATTCAGCTATTTCCTGTACAGTAACTGACTTTGACATAGTCACCAAAACTTCTGTTTTCAAACATAAAATAACGAGTCGGTGTGAGGAAACGGTATTTGCTGATGATGTCAACTCACACTCGAACAAGTAAGCGATTCGATCGAGATTTAAGTAATGACTCCATCTGCAGAAGAGTTTAACTTTCATAGATTAATGGTGAGATGCAGCAGCACATCATATCTAACAAACTCCAACGAGAAATAATAATTTTGGCATCAGTCGAGAAATTTTGTCACGACGGATTGTATAAAAAATCGGGATGAACCGACACTAGTTTCATATTCTCAAGATCACTGACAAAAACCAGCCAAAAAAAGGAGATTCTTATTTACACTCCTGTCCTGTCACAGTCAATTATATACAAATTATGAAAGACAATCTACATTTTTAACATATATTCATGATTTGTAAAGCCCTTTTAAGTTCTAAACCTAACACTGTTGTCCAAATTCGCAAGGCCAGTCGACGAGAAACGGTCAAAATCGGAAGGCCGTTAAGCAGTTTCATCGAAATCGACCCTCTCTCCAGTGCAGTAGACATTCCAGAATAAAGCCGCGGAGAAATACAGGAACGAAGTGAGCAGCAAAAAGCCCTTGAAGGAGCCCACTAATTCGACGAAGAAACCCGCACCGACTGTTCCCACTATAGCAGCTAGTGTGCCAGCAGTATTAGACATACCTGTATGTAAGACAAATGAATGCAATCATGTTATTAAAACTGCTGAACAAAAGAACTATAAACTAGATTTGTCAATTTTTTTTCATTTTCTGTGTATGTAAAGAGGCTCGTCATGTTAAAAAATGCCGGTACAACAAATAAACATTCCCCACGAGTGATATCGAATTTTACAGCTGCTATTAGCTGAATCTTCATGTTGCTACTAATCCAATATGTATACCGTTTCTTTTTTTTAGGAATTAGGATTAATGCTGATAGTTCGATAAATTCTATTTATGTAACCTACGAGTGAATGGGTTTCTATTATGCGTCATTTTCACACAATTTTACCTACAGATCGCAGCCACATGCCAATCTAGAGCAGAAAGTTGAAGATGAGACAGAGAACTTACCGTGTAGCACACCAGAGTATTGTGGGGCAATCTCCTGGAAACACACGAATATGGAAAATATGTTAAACGAGGGTTATATATGCAAAAATAACTAATGAACTTTCACAAAATAGGCATACCTGAAGGTTCACGAGAAAGCCACAATGACTAAATGCTTTCAGCCCAACAGCTAAAGTAAGCCAAGCAGATGCTATTAATGGAGTTTTTGCCATTGTTAAACCAATAAGAGCCAAGCCAGGACCAACAAATCCTATTGACTGTCAATCATGGAGAAAGGAAATATTAATACTTACTCTATTGCAAATATAGAAAGGCAAAGGAATTGCCGAATTCAATTGCATGCACATGCTGTTAAGTCATGTCTAAGAAAATAATGAAATACACCACTGTACCAGCTCACAAATTTATGTGAGCAACGAGTTTGGATGACTACATAAAGCCAAAGAAAAAGAAAAAAAACTTGCACATTTGGAATTTGTTTTCGTTCTTTCTTTTTAATTACTTATTTATTAATTTATTTAATTGATTCTTCAGCAACCATTTTCTTATTAGGGAGGAGGGCTGTTTACATGTACAGAAAAGTAAAACAAATAACCTGCATAATTTTGCGAGTCAGAGTGACACTTGTGCCACTTTGAATCATCATATCTGATAAAACTCCAGCAAAGTAGCCTACAAGAGCCATCATACTCCATGGAACAGCACTAAACCATGCAGCTTGTCTGAGGTCAACATGATATATCTAGAACAAACAAAATCGCTCTAATTTATCTTTCATCAACATAAGCTAAAGTTCACTTTAAATTCAAATCATAGTTATATGACCTCACCGTTTTGAAGTAGATCGGCATCCACGAAAGAATGACAAAAAATCCCTGCACAAAGGAAGAGAACAAACTTAAATCTTCTGCAGCATAATTTTACAACTGTAAAATGAAGCCACCTTCTCTCTCTCCACAAATTTTAACAGGAGCAATGATTTTTGGGGTATTCAGACTATTACTAAATACTAACAGTAGGCAAATAGTAATTGCTAAATTGTCCGGAACTTATGAAACATGATGTATTTCTTATTACCCAGCTGTGCATAGCATTGGCGGAAATTACAGCCCAAGTTGGTGGCTTAGAGAGCAGACGTCGAAAAGGAGGAATAGCTTGTCTTTCTTTAAGTTGGTTTTTCGACAGAGAGGGTACTGATGACCTGCTCTGTATGTATTTCAGCTCATAGATTGATATTTGAGGACTTCGGTCAGGTGAACTTGAGGTTGCAGATACCCAAACTAAAACCCAAAGAAAACCAGACAAACCAAATATCACAAATGGCCCATATATACCGCCTTGTGACATGAGGATTGGAGAAAGTGTAAGCCCAATAGCACTTCCGAGCTGAAATCCAGCCATTGCTAGTCCTACAGCCCTTGACCTTTCTGTTTGAGGGAACCATCTGAAAAAGAAAAGGAAAAAATCGTCTTTGTGGTAGCTTTGTGAACTTTCGCTTCAACGTCAGATCAAGAATACGCAAATAAGAGAATGACGTATTTGCTACTTACCTTGCGATCATATTATTCATGCAAGGAAGAGCTACACCTTCTGCAATGCCAAGTAGCATCCGCATAGCAAGAAGAGCCAATAAGGATGTTTCGGCTGCCCACGGAGTAAGGAAAGTAGCGAGAGACCATAAAGCCACCCCCCAAGCCATGACCACCTTACCACCGTGACGGTCCACCAAAGTCCCTCCAGCTATAGGTGATATCAGGTATCCCCATAGGAAAGATGACTGCCATTAGTGGCTATTAAATCAATCAGATGAAGCCCAAAAAAAAAAAGAAAATATTAAGGTATTAAATAGATTATGTTATATGATGAGACTTCCAGGATTTCCGATTTTCATAAACTATTAAAAAGAGAAACAATTCCAAGTGATATACATCATTTTTAAGTCTTTCTGATAAGTAAAAATTTCATTTATTTGACACATACAAAAAGAAAAAATATATTTATTTGTGAATAGGATGCATCTCAACCTCTAAAGCTTTATACAAGAACATGAGAAAAATAACTCAAAAATATTAGCAAAAACAATTTTTTCGCTGCCAAAATTTTACCTTTTGGTATTTCAATTAAATAGGGATATCTACTGTCACAACTTAAGATTTACGAGTTTTGTTCTTGTTGATTTTAATTTTAGTTCTCTTCCAACAAGGATATCTCATATTTAGGTCTGTGCAATTGAATTCTAAAATTTAAGATGAGCAAAGATACTAATGTAGCCCTTGTTTTGTGATTAAGTAAGACACTCAAGGAAATGAAAGAAACTAACGTAGCGTTTTGTTTTTTCACAAATAATTTTGCGAAAGAGAGATATCCTTGCTGATTACGTAATATACATACTTAAGGGCCCCCACAGAGCATGTTGATTGAAGACGGTAATAATAGGTTCCAAATGAAATCTCTACTCGCACTCTAGAAGGATTATCTTGGCATATCCCTTTTAACCTTCGGTTAGAAATAAACTTACAATTAGTATCAATTTCTTCTTCCAACCAAAGTAGTTTTTCGGGAATGGATATTCATTGTTTCCAAGAAAAGTTGTCAGTGTTGTATCGTACTTAGTTAGCCATGGACAAGAACTTAATTTTCATACTTTATAAGAAGGCTTTCTACACTTAAGATGTGGTTGAATTTACTTCAAGGAAGTTCCTTGCTTACATGATAAGATGTGATATTCATGAGTCATTTTGGGGGATACAGTTTGGCTGAAATAGCCATCTAACTACAGAAATGTGTTAGCGAAAAGTGATGTAAGGCATGTTTTCCTGATGTCCTTCAGCTTTTACAAGATTACAGATGATAAAAGAAAATTTCAAGTTGATATAGACCGAAAACTGTGGAAAGTCACTCTTTCTAAACTACATCGAAGAAGAGTTTATTTTATAACAGCTCTACCAGGGAAATACGCATAGGAAAGTGAATAAGTCAGTGTTTTAATTTCCTGTAAATGACTCGGCACTATGAAAGCATGAACTTGAGTAGCATTGAATTAATGAGCTGTGTGACTTTCTGGGATGGAGCTATTCACTTGAATCCTTATCTTATTTGGTTAGGAATAGCAAAAGCTATGGTATTCGGTGTCCAAAGTGGGAGGAATAAGCGCAATAGCCATCGAGTCCCCAAGCTCGCTTTTTAAAGAGGAAAAAAAACAACAACGACTAGGCTAAAACAAAACCAAACATTGCCCTCAATACCTAGCTGCAAGCCAGTGTTCTTGCACAAGTGAGCTTGATCACCTTCAATATCCATCTTAACGCAAGTTTTTGGTGCAATAATTGGTATATTGTTTTGAAGTACTATCTTCAATAAATCGATGCAACTGATAGTATATATAAGTAGAAGTAAAGTTACCCTCTTGTTTATCCCCTAGTATTAAAACTGTGAGCATGAGAATTCAAAATCCACAGTCAGTTGAAAAGAAGCTAAATACAGCATTCAGTTGAAAATTATGACAAGTGAAAATTTATGTGGATTGAACTAGTAGAAAAATATGTACAGCATTTATATGAAAATTAATTCCATGCAACAGTATTTGACAATGCTGAGCTCCAGTCTTGCAACTCGAAACTATCTACTACTTCAGAGCATTAGCTACTTATTTTTCTTCGTAAATTCTTAAAATGGGTCGTATTGAAGCATTACTCATTTTTTTTGTGGCCATATATTAATTTTTAACTCCTTGTCACATAAATCAGTTAACTTTTTCGAAAGAAAAAAAATCGATGCAGAACATACAAAAGAAAAGACACCCAAACGTAATGACGAGCATTACACACAAACATCGTATTTCATCCAATTCAACAAACAAAGCGTAGCTTCAAACACTTCACCCAGTTACAAAATTCATTATTACTCAAGTTAAATTAGAATTTAGAACGATATATATACTAAAAGGAAGAAAAGTTGGGGGAATACCTGAACAATACCGGCAAACGATTGACGCCAACCGCGCGACTGAGAAAGCGGGACAACCGCCACCGACATGACAACCCGATCGGCGTTACAAAGTGCCAAAGCCAACGCAAGCATGGCGACCACTTTCACCCTCTCCGAAGTGATGAACTCCGCAAAACTCGGCTCCCGCATTTCTCGGAAGCCGCCACCATCGGATACGGATTGAGCGTCACTCGACGAAGCCCTCGCTCGATTGACTACTGAACTACAGCTTTTAAACGGAGGAGAAGTGGTGCCACTCGCGGAAACGCTGAGAGAGGAAGCGGCAAGTGGTCGAATTGACGAGATTGAACAAGGAAACCCGAAAAAGTATGGTTTGGGTGATAAATTAGGGTTTTGGCGGCGTGGTATTGAGCTTGAGCAGAGTCGCCGATTGACAGTAGTGAGAGAAGGGGAATTCATTCTGTGAATGCTGAAGAGAGAGAGAGAGAGAGAGATGAATGTGAATAGAGCATTCAACAAAGAGTTGGGGGAAAGGCGATGTTTGGCAGCACTTCCATTTTCTTCTCTCTACTTTCTTCAAAATTACAAATTTTTTCTTTTTCTTTTTTGAGTAATAAAAATTACTACTTATTATTATTATTTATTTATTCAATAAACAAAATTACTACGTTTGAACATCTATAAATTAATACAATTGAAATTAGAGAAATTCTATTAATTTAGTAAAATATTATATTATTGAGTTAATAATCTAGAATATTTTTATTAATTCGGGATGGAGATAAATTATTATTTAAGCAATATTATTAATTTATCGAGGTTCTACTATATTTGTTTGCTGATATTTTGTTTGCAAAATGATTTTTCATTAATAGAGATGGTTTTCAAGAAAAATTGAAGGAATAATTATTTAAGCACAAATGATTATTATTTATCTGCCTACATCTGACTTCCTTTTTAGAAGAAAAAGCTCCAACTATAATACATGTTCGTTAGGTGAAACTCCTCGAAAAACCATCGTTCATCTTTTCTTCCAACGCCATACAATCCAACCTCTTATTCGCAGAATTCCATACGTTTCCTCCGAAACTAAGAGGGTGTTTGGCTAAGCTTATTTTAAACAGCTGATAAGCTCCTACGTCTAATAAGATGTTTTAAGAGCTGATAAGTTGTTACATCTTATTTTTAGGATTAATTTTTAGAGTGTTTGGGTAATAAGCTTATTTCATATTTTTATTCATTATAAGATCTTAAATAAAAAGGTGGGGTAGAGGTACTTATTTAAAAAGATCTTATTTGCTCTCCAGCAGCTTATTTTATAAAAAAATAAGATCTTTTTTAAAAAAATTACCAAACACTTATGAAGAGCTTATAAGCTCTAAAACATATTATAAGCTCCTTTTAACATCTTATAAGCTTAGCCAAACACCCTCTAAATCTCATTTATGCCGTCTTTCTTTTATCCTTCTAAAAAAGCACAAGTCCTATCTTGATCAACAGTTTCGTGAAACGTCACTTACCTAATAATTAACTATTGTAAATATATCTGAACAAATAATAGAAAAAAAATATTGAGTAAAAATTATTTTCACTCAGATTCTTATAATACTTTATATTTTATTCATCTTTAGAATAAATATCACTTAGATGAAAAATAGGATTAGAGAATTCAATACAAGTAAACACAAAAACAAATGCGAGCAAAAGAAAAGAAAAAGAGTACAAATTATAGGTATTAGAATATGTCTTAATTATAAAAATAAAAGGATTTATAAGTTTGTAAAATAATGAAAGAGGAGGACTTCTCTTAAAAAAAGGCAAATTATGGCCACTCTGAGGCATGGTCCAATTACGAAAACCCCCTTTTGTTTGGGTAATTATAATCACTCCCTTTTTTTAAAATATTTTTACATAAAATTGATGTAATTCTGTTATTTACCGAACAAAATCTTACGTTCAGTTCGATAAACGGTATGAAATGTTGTTGTACCGAAATTTCGGTTCGATTTTTTGCCGAATTAACATCCCTAAAATTTAACTCTAACGAGGTATTTTTATAAGATAATACACAGTTGATGGGTAACTGTGAGTATCCAAATATGAGGTTGATTTTCGTAATTTGACCACAACTCATGGATGACCATAATTTGCCCAAAAAAAAAAAAAATACAAGAAAAGGGTATAGATGGTACAACATGTAACCTAGGGATGTAATTGAAGATTTTAGTAGTAAAGGGGAGGCAAGTGAAAGTTTTTATTTAGTAAGGGGTGGTAAGTGAAATCAACCAAATAATAATTAATTAATGGAAGATTTATCGAGGGTTCTTCTTGTCTTAGCCTAGTTGCCACCTTTCCCTTTTCCTAGGATTCTCTCTCTCTCTTCTTTCTCTCTCCTCCTGGTAACCCATAAGTCATATCTCACTTGCAGTTGTAGAGAGAGAAACACACACTTCAGTCCCACTGCTCTCATCTTACTTCACACGCACACACCAAACACTACATCGGTATCTGTAAATGCGTCAACTCCCCATTCTCAATCAATGACCCTACGGCCCGACTCCCGCTCCCGGGCCCGAACCCGCATCGGGATCCGAACCACCCGCCGCCTATCCCCTTGCTACCGCCACCCGAACGAACCAATCACCGGCATTTGCGCATCGTGCCTCCGCGACCGCCTCTCCGGCCTCGACACTTCCGCCGCCCCCACTGCTGCATCTCCGGAGCTCCGCCGATGCAGGTCGGTGGTCTCGATTTCCAAATGCGAAGCCTCCTCTAGCGGCTTGAGCGAGCCGCGGCGCAGGTCCTGCGACGTCGTATCGTCTGACGGCGGCGGCGGCGGCGGCGGCGGCGGCTCTCTGTCTACTCTCTTCGATGTGGACGATTTGAAGAGCGGATCCGAAACCGAGGCGAGAGTCGAATCGAAGAATGTAGGGCTTTCTAGGGTCACTTACACTGTGATCGAATCGAAGAAGCAAAATCAGGACGAGGTGGTTAGGGTTTCGAGTAACAAATTGGGGGTATTGGATGCGGACTGTGTCTACAGTGATGGGGAAGGTGAAGATGGTGAATTCAAGACGATGAAAGAATACATAGATCTCGAATTCCCAAACAAGACTAAGAAATCCAAGGACTTGAAAGAAATCGCCGGCAATTTCTGGGGGGCGGCGTCGATTTTCAGTAAGAAATTGCGGAAATGGAGGGAGAAGAACAGTAAGATGAAGAAGCACAGTGACAGCAGCAATGGCAAGAGCGGTGTTGGTGACGATGGCGATCTGAAGTCTTTCGAAGACAGGCGGAAATTGGGGGAAAGGCATTCTGAGATTGTGGGTAGAAGAAGATCTTGCGATACTGAACCTAGGTTCTCCGTTGATGGTGGTCGGATTTCGTTTGAGGAGCCGAGAGCTTCGTGGGATGGGTATATGATTGCAAGGACGATTCCGAGGCTGGCTCCGATGTTTTCGGTGGTCGAAAACGGCATCTTGGGGAATGTTAACAGCAGGTTTGAGAATCGTAGATTGTCGGTTGATGGTGGGCAGCAAATGCACTCAATTATCGAGGACGAGAGTAGCTCTGGAGCTTCAGGTAATTCCGATTCATCATCTTCCATGAGGCAGAGTAGTTCCGATCGCTCGAGTTCTGTCCATAGTTTCGCGAAGAAACTGACGAGTTCAGAGAATGTGAAGCTGGTGATTACGGAGAAGGAGTTAAAAGATTGGCATTTGGGCTGCGGTGTAAACGACGGGCTGGAAAGCTTTGGATCCGTATCGAGAAACACCCCTCCCATTGAAAGTGTCGGTAACTTGAATGTGCAGGCGAAGAAATCTGTTCGATGGCGTAAGGTTTGCAATGTGTTTGGTCTTAAAGTCAAGAACGGTGGAGAAAATGTAATCGAGCCTTGTATCGATGAGAACTGTGAGAAGAAGCAAACGGAGGAGGCTGTAAAAGAAATCGGGGGTTGGAATCTTGCACGAAGCAGCAGTGTTGTTGGTTCGAGAGCGTCGTGTGACGATGCCATAAGGTCGAGTTATGGTAGGAGAAGTGTCGATAATGCGTATAATGCTTTCAGGGGTATGGAGGATTCTAAGCTGGGAAGAAATCAGAGTACTAAATATTCTTCGGCTGGTCTCGACGATGGGGTAACGCCGTTTTACATGACACCGTTGAGGGGATTGAGGAATTCCAAATCTGGAAAATTCAAGCTGCAGAATTCACATTCCGTTGTTGGGAATATTCTGCAGTTAAACTGACTGAGGGCCTTTGTCCGTTGAATATGGAAGTTTTCCCATTTGTATGAAACAAAGTATGTAATACTGCTATCTCGTAACTCTTTGTAGTTCTCTTTATTATTAACATAAAAAAAAAAAAATCAGTTTTTTTTCTTTTTTTCGTTTGTTCGTTTCGGTGGCCTTCATCCGTTGAATATTTTTCTAGCTAGAGAAAGGTATGGAATCTGAAATAGTATATGTGCATCTGGCTACATTACCTATATTATCTTACTTGTCCTTTTATTACATGTGAATTCGCTCGCATTAGACAGAATTCGTGGAAATACAAGGACCGCCATTTCGTACCCGCAAACCAACAGAAGGAAAGGTAAAAATGCTTGGTAGCTGAAAACTGATATTACGTGCAATCATACAAGGGGCTTTCGACTTTCTTGTCAAAGATTGATATGCGTATTTAACTCTACTGGTTAAACTTGTTTCTTGTCTAAAGCTGATTCTTAACTAGGCACATCGTTTTTAGCTGCTCCGCATGATATATATATATATTCCAGTTCAAGGTTGTATTCTTAACTAGACCCATTGTTTTTTGTCTAGCCGGAGCTTGCAATTTAACTGTTCCTCTTTTATGACTACTCTTATCTTGCAGTTGCTTGTTGCTTATCGACAGGTCTACCTTTCTCTAGGCCGTGTTTGTCTGTGTGGTAGTAAAAGAGAAACTTGGTTTGGCACAACATGCTTGAATTTTGACAATAGGGAAAATTGTATATCACTTTACAACTGAGTAGATGCTGAAATCTCTTTATATTAGATAAGTCATCAGAATTTTGCAATTAATACAGAGATTGCAGCATTTTGGCCTGCATTAACATGTTGTACTACAGTGAACTGGGTGATATTTTTGGTCTAATATGAACCCTGAATCATAATGGTAATGGGCCCTAGATTATAGGGTCACAGCGTTAGTTATAGTAAAGTTAAGTGGCTGAAAAGGTATATGTATCATGGATTCATTATTACAATGTGGATTCTGTGGCTGCATAAGTTGTTGATACAACGAGGTCAGATAAACACAGGGAATATGGAACTGCTTAGCCTTTCTTCTCAAAATAGTCCTGGACGCTCTCTCTCTCCTCTTTTTTTTTTTAACTAGTACTTCACCTGGACGCTCTCTCTCTCCTTTTTTTTTTTTTAACTAGTACTTCACCCATGCATCGCTTGGGATATTTGATTAGAAAACAATTCAATGAAATAGGAAGATCAAAAGTTGATTTGATATGCAAACACCAAGTACTAGAAAAGTAGAAAAAGAAAAAAAAATGGAAAATTATTATGTTTGATGTAAGTAATTAATTAAGCTAAAATACATGAAAAAGAGATAAATATCAAAAAAATGAAATTACGTATACAAAAATCGAGTACATCCTTCGTCAACCATAATGCCCAATTAATTCAAGTTCTTTATTTGATCCAAATTAATTATTATAATTGTGTTGGGTAAATTACAAACACCCCCTAAGGTATGGTCAAATTACACAAACCCCCCTCTTGTTTGGATAATTACATCTACCCCTCAATTACGATTTTTTCTTACACCTCCACCATTATGGTGTCAAATTCAACATAATCATCTAGATTCCGTGAAATGTGCTTTAGTTTGTACTCGTTTTGTATAAAAATACAGTTTCCGATGCACCACAAACTGATATATACAAGCTAAAAATCAAATATTATGATCATCTTGCTTCATAATGTAGAGTTTGAATGGGATAAAACGGGTATAAAAGTGATAATATTCCATATAATCTCGAAGATTCCACTAAAATTGAGAAGTTTAGGGGGTGGATGTAATTATCCAAACAAGAGGGGTGTTTTTGTAATTTGACCATACCTTAGGGGGGTGTTTGTAATTTACCCTAATTGTGTTTGATAACAACGGCCTCAACAGTATGTCGAATTCAATAATTAGAAACTTTGAATAATCGATATATAATAAGATTTAATTCAAAAAACTTATAAAATAATATCCATTCCATTCGATTTAAGTGGACTAAACTAATTAAATAATAAAAGAAACATAAAACACGAACATTGTAATATAAAAAATAAGATACATCAGATGACCCAAATGGTACAACTATCTCGTTCAATGAACTAGGATTATTAGCGGGAGACATAGTTATCAAGGTGGTGATTTATAGCACATGCATTGACATTGCTTATAACTCATCTAAGACCTTGTGAGTAACCTGCACATTTTCTTTATTCATTGTCCAATCGTTGATACACACTATTCAAATATATATCACCTAAAAGTGTAACAAATAAACATAACACTTCAAAGTAACTTTATTAAATTAGTTTGATAAATAAAAAACTTAATTGAAGTTGACAATAAGATCAACGTAAAGTGCAAATAAATATAACATTGCGAAGTAATTATATATATAAATAATTAAAAAAAAAACATGCCATTGAATCTAAAATCAATTTTTTGTAAGTATACCTTTATATTAGCTGAAAAACTTGCTTTTAAACAACATTGGTAGTAAGAATAGTGGTCCCTTCCGACTTGTTGAATATATTTATGTCATCTTAAGATTAACTTTCGACATTACTACGTATAATTGATCATGCCACCTCTAATATTAATATCAATACCAATACCAATATCAATACCAACACTAATACCAATACCAATACCAATACTATTACTTTAAGATTTTCTAGAGGTGAAGAAGTTATATTAGAGCCGCTTTGGTAATCAATAACAAAGAGGTAAACTAAAATACAAATTCCATAAAGTTTGGATGCTTACAGTTTCTGTTCACTTAAATCTTTAAATTGTTCAGCTTTGATGATGCTAATTACTTAGATCACCTGGGGTAGTGTAGAAAACGAACTGGGAGAGCAAAGCGGATCAGTAGCTTGACAACTTGATGATCCTGAGGTATCTGCGATCACAGAACACGTGAACTAGGCCGGGGGTTGATCCGGCGGAAACCCCTCCGACGCTCAAGTCAAACGTGCGGATAGTGGAAATAGTCCAGAGAATACAGTTGATAGTATTGCTCAGTTAATAGGACGCACCTTAAGGAATGAGTTCCAATGATTATTTATAGCTTAGTGGAGATTGTGGGGCCCAAACCTTACTTGAAGGTGATTGGACCTCGGTAGTAGTGGTCTTCAATATTGGGCTCGTGGCCCAGTAGGTAAAGAGATTGTAGACTTATTGGGTTGGCCCAAATAGGCATATCATTAAGCCCCCCACTCTCGAGTCGATGTGGGGGCCATGTTGAAATGGGTGTCAGATTGTGTCGAGAGTAAAAATTGTAGGAGTCGATCGTTGGCGTATGGCCTAATGGTGTGCGAAGACGCGTTGGAGCGTGTGTCGGAGGGGAGTGAAGGCGCGTTGGCGCGTAGCGCGACCAATTTGTCGCGATATAAGTTACTTGAGTCGTTGGTGTTGTCCCGCGACGATGTAGTAGCTCGGATCAAGTTATCTCCTAGTGGGAGTTGTCTCGTCGTGGGGTAATAGAGTTGATCGAGTTATCTCCTCGTGGGAGTTGTCTCGCGATAATGTAGTAGCACGGAGCTTGTATTCTCCTCGTGGGAGTTATTATTTATCGATATTGTCAATGTTTTGACGCGTTGCTTGTATGTGTTTACATATAGCCTTGTGCGTGATGTACTTGAGGAGGGGATCAAGCTCTCAAGATTTTTATATGGGGATCGTGCCCCTTGTTAGACCTCGTGGGTTGTAAGTATGTTTGGACCGTGGCCACGTTTTAATGAAGGACCCATCGAAAACAAGTAGATAAATTTTGAGTAATCAAGCTGGCCAGGCTATATAGATTCCCATAATATATCTAAGTGTTTCTAGGGTTGTAATCGTGCTAACTTGAGCTTGCGATTATATAGTGAGTTTCGGGCGAGTTGTCTAGCAGTGAAGTTATAGGAGCATTGGACACGCGACTGGGGAGCATGCGGATTCAGGTCGCTTTGAGCGAGTAGTCTCCTTGTTGGAGTTGTCTCACATCGAGTCTTATTACCGAACGAGGTGCCTCCTCGTGGGAGTTGCCTTGCAACGGGTTCGTAGTGCCGAGCGATTTGGCTCCTCGTGGAAGTTGTCTCGCTGCAGGTTGGTAGTATCGAGCGAGTTGTCTCCTCGTGGGAGTTGTCTCGCAGCGGGTTGGTAGTACCGAGCGAGTTGTCTCCTCGTGGGAGTTGTCTCGCTGTGGGTTGTAGGACCGAGCGAGTTGGCTCATCGTAGGAGTTTTCTCGCTGCGGGTTGTAGTACCGAGCGAGTGGTCTCCCCGTGGGAGTTTTCTCGCTGCGGGTTGTAGTACCGAGCGAGTGGTCTCCTCGTGGGAGTGTTCTCGCTGCGGGTTGTAGTACCGAGCGAGTGGTCTCCTCGTGGGAGTTGTCTCGCAACGGGTTGTAGGACGGAGCGAGTGGTCTCCTCGTGGGAGTTATCTCGCTGTGGTTTTGAGACCCGAGGGAGTTGGTTCCTCGTGGGGGTTGTCCCGCAACGGGTTATAGGACGGAGCGAGTGGTCTCCTCGTGGGAGTTATCTCGCTGTGGTTTCGTAGACCCGAGGGAGTTGGCTCCTCGTGGGAGTTGCCTCGCAACGGGTTATATGTCCTAGCGAGTTATCTCCTCGTGGGAGTTGTCTCGCTACGGGTTGTAGTTCTGAGCGAGTTGGCTCCTCGTGGGAGTTGTCTCGCTGCGGGTTCGTAGACCCGATGGAGTTGGCTCCTCGTAGGAGTTGCCTCGCAGCGGGTTATATGACCGAGCGAGTTATCTCCTCGTGGGAGTTGTCTCACTACGGGTTGTAGTTCCGAGCGAGTTGGCTCCTCGTGGGAGTTGTCTCGCAAGCCTCCCACTCTCGAGACGATGTGGGAGCCAAGTCGAAAAGGGTAGCGAATCGTGTCGAGAGTAGATCGGTGCTGTAGTGTTTCGTTAATCGTTGGCGTGACGTCGAGAAATAATATTTTTTATTTATCTCTTGGAGAGCGCGTGCGATTTGTTGAGGTGCGTTGGAGAGAGCGCGCAATTTAGTGTAGCGCGTTGAAATTCGTGTCCGATTTGGTGAAGCGCGTAAAAATCCGAACGCGATTTGGTGAAATGCGTAAAAATCCGGACGCGATTTAATGGGGCGCG